TCCCACCCCGGCTGGCGGAAGGAAAGTGTTCAAACAGAACTGTTGCTGGAGGGCCAGTGAGAGAGATGGCTTCAGCAGATAAAGGCACGGCTGCCAAGCCTGAATACCCCAGTCACCAGGACAGTCAGGGCTGTTACACAGAGAAACTCTTGTCTGGAAAAAAAAAAAAAAAAAAAAAACCAAAGCAAACAAAACTTTCTCCCTTCTGTTTCCATCCCCTCTGGAAGTTTACACTCCCAAGAGATGAGCCTCAAATATCCAATTCATAGGAACTATAAGGTTTCCAATTCATAGGAACTATAAGGTTTCCAATTCATAGGAACTATAAGGTTTCCAATTCATAGGAACTATAAGGTTTCCAATTCATAGGAACTATAAGGTTTCCAATTCATAGGAACTATAAGGTGACAAATGCCTCATTGTTTACATTCTTCTTTATTTCCATTTTTTGTTATTTTTGAGTCAGTGTCTTGCTACATAGCTCAGGCTGGCCTCAAACTCTCAGCAGTCCTCCTGCCTCAGCCTCCCAGAGTGCCAGAGTTATAGGTGTGAGCTACCATGTCTGGTTTCATTTTAGTTATTCTTCTTATTTGTTATTTTGAGACAGGATCTCTCTATGTGGCCCTAGCTGCCCAGAAACTCTCAGTACAGACCAGGCTGACCTCAAATGTGTGGAAATTCATCTGCCTCTGACTCCTGGGTAATAGGATTACAGCCATGCATCACCATACCCAACTATTATTACTATAAAATTTTAATCTGACCAACTTACCCAAGCTCACTCTCCTTCTGCCTGGTCTCTGAGTAGCCGGCATCACAGATGTGCACGGCCATCCCGGCTGGCTCTGATGCATAATTTTAAACCATTAGTTATTCAGATCATTTGTTGTATAGCAATAGATAGTATAGAGCAGCTAGACACTCTCTTTTCTAAATAAGCTCATTGCAAATAAGAAAATAGACAAGCAGGTGATGAGAGAGGGGTTAGCAGAGACCTCCTGTTAGTGACATTGAGCTGAGAAGAGAGATGGCAGGAAGGACCAATGGCATGCTTACAGTCTCAATAGATAGTGCACATCTCATTTCATAACCAAAGGGCTCCGGTAATTATTATGAATAGAAACTCATAGATAATAGCATCTTCCTACACTCATGGTTTTAATAAATGATAATGACCTGAAAAAGATGAGCCAAAAGAAAGCAGTGTATAATTTACTAATTTTATTTCAGTGGATAAACAGGCGCAGTTACACTAGAAGACAGGACGAAGCTGCCTCCCTCCTGCAGGCAGAGTGCTCCCCCGCCCCCAGCTGCGGCTACCAGTGCTGCAGCAGCCACCAGCAGGAGCAATGGTGCCCAGGTTTGCAGGTGATGATTGGTTACTTAAGTCTCTGACAAGAAGCAACTTAAGAGAGGAAGGGTTCCCCCCCCCCCCCCCCCGCAGTGTGAGAAGGGATACAGTCCACCCTGCTGGAGAAAGCTTGGCGGCATGAGTGTCGTGTTACTTTGGTGGTCCACAAGCAGGGAGCAGACAGGAAGAGAGGCCAGTCTATAAAACCTCAAGCCCCAGCCCGGCAATGGTGGCCTTTAATCCCAGCACTCAGGGAGGCAGAGGCAGGCGGATCTCTGTGAGTTTGACGACAGCCTGGTCTACAGACAGAGTTCCAGGGCAGCCAGGGCTGTGACACCCACTTCCTTCAGCAAGGCTCCGCCTTAAAGAGTGCTGAGCCTTCTGAAAGAAATGGAACCACTTGAAACATATGATCATGACTACTGAACTCTCAAACATCGGGTGTTAAGCACTGCTTGGTGAGATTCCAGACAAAACACATGTTCCCCTGACTTACAACAAGAGCTGTGTTTCTGGAAAACTTTAGACTATTAAAACTCTACAACTGGGAGTAATGGAACACATCTGGAATCCCAGGCTTGGGAAGTAGAGGCGGGAGAATCAGGAGTTCAAAGTCATCCTGAGCTACACGTTCAAGACTAACCTGGGTTACATGTGACCCTGTCTCTAGAGGAGGGAATGAACCCAAGCTATGCAAAACATACTGGGTGCTTCTATGCAAAGTAGACTTCTTCCTAAGTCCTGTCCCTGTTAGTACACTTCTTAACTCCAGATTGTCCAGCCACATGGCACACTTGTAATCCTGGTTCTGTGGGCTGACCCAGATCTAGATGGTATAAGTCCAGCATCCCCACTGTCCCTACTGTAACAGTAACAGGGTTTTTTCAATACAATTGCAAAATGCCAGCAATGGACCAGGCTTGCAGCCCCAGTTGAGATAGGACATCACAACTTCAGGCCCAACTTGAGTTCAAGGTCTATGTAACTTGATGAGAACCGGTCTCAAAATAAAATGCAAAACGAAGATTGAGGGTGTAGCTCCGTGATAGATCACTGGCCAAGTACATGCACGGCCCTGTGTTCAAACCCCATCATCTCACTCCCAAAATTTAACCCTTTCATAGAATTTGGCCTTCATAGAGAAGCACTGATTGAGAGGCACAGGAGTGCAGAAGCTGAACTTTTTGTTAGTTTGTTTTTGAGACAAGGTTTCTCTGTATAGCTCTGGCTGTCCTGGTACTCATTCAGTAGACCAGACTAGCCAGAAAGCTGCATGCCTGCCTCTGCCTTCCAAGTGCTGGGATTAAAGGAATGCACCACCTCTGACTGGCTATAAGCCAAACTCTTAAAGGAACACGAAGGAGCCTAGAGCAGCCTAGGCTGAGAAGGAGGAAAAGATGGGAGATGATGTCTGAGAGCTTGGAGGGCCTATGCCAACTTCTCGTTATAGAACAATATTTAGAGTCAACTCCACAGCTAACAGGGAGCCACCTCTGGGTTTTAAGTAGAGGAGTGGCATGGTCTTCACAGTGGGTGGGTAGATCTTATGCTGTGTAAACATGAGACAGACCAAGGCACTAGACAGCGAGGTTCCTTTACTGTGATTCAAGCCTAGGGAAACCAGAGGTGCCTAGCCACTTGTCTGACAAAGGGAACTATGGTTTTGTTGTTGTTGTTGCTGTTTCTTGAGTTGGCAATTGCCTATTCATTATTCATGTCCTTTTTGGGCTAGGGATGTGGCTTAACTGGTATAGTATTTGCCTAGCATGCATGAAACTCTGGACTTGAGCTCCACAACTACATAGACAGGGCACAATAGCATGTTCCTCAATCCTGCATGGAGAAGAGGCAAGAGGACCAGAGTTCAAGAGACCCTGTCCCAAGGATAAAGAAAGAGGGATGTTTGAGTATCTCTTGCTGCTATATTCACCTGCTAAATACAGGCTGGCTTCGGCTCAGAGAACTGGGTTCTCTCTATGTCCTCTTTGTTCTGGGGCTCTTCTGAGAACATAAGGAAGGTATGGTCCGGGCCTCCCTGTGCCCAGCCTCACACCCTGCCACTCTGTTGGTCAGGACAGTCATGAGGGTAGCCCAGGCTCGGGACATGGAGAAACAGCCTCCTGTTGACGGGAGCTTCAAAGCCACATTGGAATCAATGGAATTTACAGTCTTGAAATATTCCATCTGGCTCTGGACCAGGCAGGCCTCCAAGGACAGAGCCCAACAAAATGGCAAATACATAAGGTCCACAGATTCTATTAGAGACATCAACCAGGAGGCACAGGTAACAAGAGATGTCTGAGCTGAGCAGTTGAACTTGTTGGCACAGGTTGTTCTCAAAATTACCACGAGGGACAACTGTCTGCTTGTGAGCAGAAGCATCAAGGCTTACTCCTATAATCCCAGCTAAGCAGGGAACACTGAGTTCTGGCCAACCCGGGATTCATAATGAGGCATGTATCAAAACAAAAAAGCCAAAACCAAACCAGCCAGCAAACAAACTAACTCCATAACCAAGGCGATTATGGTACTGTATGCCCACCATCCCAACTCTTGCAGAGACAGTAGGATTACTGCAAACTCAGGGCCAGCCTGGTCTAGATAATGAGTTTCAGGCTAGCCAGTGCTTGTAAAAACAAAACAATCAGACAAACAAACACACAAAAACCAAGCTGAAGTCCCCCTCCCTCAACTTGCCCAGCAGGATGTCTCCCTATGGCAACAGGATAGCGTGGATGCTGTAAGGCTGGTCCAGGACTGGTGTGACTTGCTGACAGGGATGGGAATCCTAAAGGGTTGGGACACTATGACTATACCTTCCGACCTTCCCTCACTCCTCCTCCTCTCCTCTCCCCACACCTTTTCTTCCCTCCTCTCTGCCAGCGCCCTCTTTCCAGCCCCTCCAGGACTATCTTTCTCCACTTCCTCTCCGCCTTCTTTCTTGTTCTTCTTGCTGTGCCCTGCCCCCTCTCTTCCCGCCTCCTCTCGTGCCCTCACCTCCTGGCTCCACCCTCAGCCCTCATTATCTCTTCCCTGAGCCTCCTCTTTCCTCTCGCGGTTTCTCTGCCCCTCCTAGGGCCCCCTCCTCACCATCCACCTGTCCTCAGTCTTCTGGCTCCTCCTTTCTCGTCCCTGCCCCTCCTTTCTGTCTGTCTGTCACCTCTCTCAAGCCTTCCTCTGCTCTTTGCCTACTCTGCCTGGCTTATCTTATCACTCTCACTAATTAATTCTTTTTTACAACTTTTTACCCCTTCCCTTTCTCTTTTCTCAGCTTATCTGTCTCATGTTCTTTGTCACCTCTCTTCCTACCTACTGTCACCTGCATCTGTCCCCTTCAGGATTGCCCACTTTTACAGCCTTTCCCCTCCTTTTCCTTCTGCCTCACGGTCTTCACCTGCGACCTTCACTGCCCCCTACCTGGCCCTGCTACCCCACCTGGGCCGTGCCCCGCCCCCATCCCAAGGCCGGTCATCAACCCAGCCCGATCTGTACAGGCCACGCCCCAACCACACAGACCACGCCCACCACGGCACCGCCCACTCAGGCCCCGCTCCCACCGCCACGCCCCCACAGGCCCCACCCTCGCCGTAGCCCCGCCCCGCCCCTGGGGGGGTCACGGGGTTGACGGACGCGCAGCAGACGTAGCGGCACCACCAGTCACGTGGTCACGTGACGCGCTCCAACATGGCGGCGCCGTGGGGCCGGGGCGTCTCTTCCTGACAGGGCGGCGCGCACGGACGCGGCCGGTGCCGGCCGGGACGCCTGGCCCTTAGCCTCGCTGTCCTGCTCGCTCGCGCCGTCGGCTCGCGGGGCTGCCGGCCCCCGCCGGCCGGGGCCATGCAGGAAAGCCAGACCAAGAGCATGTTCGTGTCCCGGGCCCTGGAGAAGATCCTAGCCGACAAGGAGGTGAAGCGGCCCCAGCACTCACAGCTGCGTAGGGCCTGCCAGGTGGCGCTCGGTGAGTGAGCCGCCCCGGCCTGGCCCGCGCCGGCCTCCCACGCCGGCCGTTACCCCCAACCCGAATCCCACCCTCCTGGCTTCTTCCGCCTCCTGCCCTCGGGGGAGCTGGTGTTGGGGCGGCCGAGACTGGCCCAAGGTCACCTACCAACTTGGTGACAGCCAAAGCTGGTTCTCCAGCCTCCTTGCCTAGGGCCTTGCCACGACGTCTTGTCCTATTTCCTGGTTCCTCCCCTCAGCCATCTCCAAGTCCTCAGAAGCAGTAGCCTCCTTTGCGCTTAAGTTTTATCTTTTCCTGGACCATGCTGGTTGGGGTTCTCCCTCGAGAGCGAGCAGAGCAGGTGAGGGAGCTGCCCAGTTGGTGCTGAGGAACCCCGGAGGCTTGGTTTGAAAATGTCCCATTGGAGAACACTTGGGCTCTGAGAGCTCTTCACCTCGAAGGCATGTCGGGTGATCTATGTCCCAGGCACTGGACAGTGCAAGACATCTTCTCATTTTAGGGCGGGTCCCTAAAATAAAGGTTCTGCCCAGCAAAGATACTGGTCTGTTTTGTTCAATGCGGTATCCCGTGCACCTGTGACAGTGCTCGGCTTACGGTAGTTGCTCAGTAAATATTTGCTTGTTGAATGGATACGTGGATTATGGGAAGAGGAACATTTCCAGCTTCTAACTAGATGAAAGCTTGGTAGTTGCTCAGTCTCCTGCCTTTTAGTTACTTATCAAGTGCTAGTGTATCAGGCACTAAGGACATGGCCATGAAGAAATGGAGTCCTTGCTTACTTCTGGGGATCTTATATTCTGGTAGAGCATACGTAAAAATACTAATAAATACTGTTGTGAGAATAAAAGAGCAAGACACGGAGGACCCGAGGTTTGCTATAGGTTGGATGATCAGGAAAGTATTTCTTCCTGAGAATGTGATGTTTGAGCCCAGTTCTGAAAGGCAAGGCGTGTTTACCATGTGAAGTTTCAAGAGGAAAAAGTCGTGGGTGGAGAGCACCAGAACATTTGACCTGTCTTCCTGCTAATTCACCACCCTAATGCCTATGCAATTCCATGTTGGGGTCTTTTTAAAGGGACCATTTTCCTAACAAATTGAGTAAATAGAAAGGCTGCTTTTCTGTTAGTTATATTTCTCCATTTGGTACAGGAGAGAGTTCACTTGAGACCTCGGAAGGTACTTGTGATCTTTGCACTTACCCATGGAAGGTCCAGACCTTGCCTGGGAAGCATTTGAGAGTCCTGCTGTTGGTAGGAGGTGCTTGCTGCCTGTGTGATCCAGAAGCAGTTAATCTTGTGAAATTTGGAGTTTGTGGAAGGGATTTACTGAGACCTGAAGTTTTAAAGCTTTTCTGTTTTGAAAGCCAGGACTGAGAGGTGGGTTTTGTTTTATCAGGAATGTAGGGTATACATTAGAAAAGCACCTTGTGAGTTAGGCATGAGCCTCAGGTTGAAACCCTCCTGAACTCCATTGTTGCCATAGTTTTAATTTCTTGCTCAAAAATTTTAACATCAGATATCACATTGCTAAGACCTACTTATAAAATTGTCTTGTGGGCCATAACACTGATACATTATTAGTTATTCTCAGATCATGTTTTTGTTTAGAAGTTCAGATATTTCCAATTCAGGTTGTAGAAATGCACATTTGAATTATTGTGCACATGTGTGTCCACATGTGAGCATGCATATGTACAAACAGGTATATAAGAAATGGCCTCAATAGGAAGTAATTTGAGTCTAGGTTATGTGAAATTTGAGGAATGGCTTGTTGTTAACAGTGATTAGGGGATTCACACAGGGCTGGTTTAAGAGAGCCATCAGTGTTGAGAGTAGTCATGTGTATAGTTAGTGAATAGACTTACTTTTATTTCTGAACAGTAAAAACACAGTACGTGGTGTTCCTTCACTCTGTATCTCAAGGCCTTGTCTTGGGTCTAAGTAATCCCATTTGAGAAGAGAAATGTGTGGGGCTGGACGTGGATAAAGTGCCAGACTATATATATGCCACGCAAGTGTGGTGGCTTTCTATAGCTCCAGCACAGAGAAAGGGGCTTCTTGGGGCAAGCCAATTTGCTAGCTAGTTGAAGTGGTAAGCTCTGCCTGAATAAGTGGAGAGCAATCAAGAAAGACATCTAACATCAACTTTGGGGGCCCCCATGCACACAGGTGTAGACACACATGAGTATACACTTCCACACGTGACCATGTATATCACAAGTGTGTACCACATATATACACAAAAGAAATAAGGAAAAATGACTGAAGTGAGTAAAAAATATAACGCATTTTATTTATTTATTTTTAAAGCAGGATTTTCTCTTTTATTTAATGATTTATTTTTACTTTATGTGCATTGGTATTTTGCTTGCATGTCTGTCTTTATGAAGGTGTCAGACCCTCATAGAACTGGTGTTAAAGAACAAGACAGTTCTTTGTGAGCCACCACCTGGGTGCTGGAAGAGCAGCCAGTGCTCCTAACTGCTGAGCCATCTCTCCAGCCCCCAAAAGTATAATGTGTTTTAAAGATCATGTGTAGATTGTCATTAACTTTGGTAAGAACTGTAAGTGTCCACTGAAAGCTGAAGCTCTTGGATGACAAACAGAAAGTGTTTCTGTGACAGGTTCCTGCCAGTTACAGTGGGGTGGGAGTTGGGACAGTGTCAGGGTTTCAGGGCTGTATCCCATGTCTGTGAGAAGCTCTGAACCTTCTGGAACTCAAGATCTTCTGGGTTCAAATCACCTGCCTTTACTTGCTGTGTTGGTTTACATGTTTGTCAGCGTTAGCCTTAAGATGATGTTAGTTGGGCAGGCGCTCAGCAGGCACTTGCTGCCACCATTATTCCCGCAGAATCTGTGTAGAAGTCACTTATTGCTCTGTTGGTGTAATTCTGGGACTAGACAGCTGGCTTCAGCAGTTAGGAGTGTTGACTGCCTCTGCATAAGACCCGAGTTATATTCCCAGTACCTACATGATGACTCACAACACTCTGTAACTCCAGTGCCAAGGGATCTAATACTCTTCTCTACTCTGTGGGCATCACACACACACATGGTATACATGTAGACAAACACTCATCCAAATAAAATAAAAACAAATCTTTGCTAAAAACATGTGGCGGAAAGGCTGTGCTTGTTACAGTGTTAACTTGCTAGGTGCAGTGAAGACAGGGGTTGCATCTTATAAAAGCAGGGGTGATCAGGGTGGAAGAAGATTGGAGTGACCGCAATGAGTCATCTCTGTAAATATCAAAGGCATAGATAGAGGACTCTCTGATTGGGGGTGGTGTCCTTCTATCTCTCTATGGAGTGCCTGTGAGAGTATTCTTCACCCAAGGACATCGTTGCTCTTGTCCCTTTAGTGAGGACTGGATATGCATTAATAATCTCCAACCTTTCAGCCCTCAATGGGGGAATTTAATTCCATTCTTAAAACCTTCCTTTTATAATGGCCTGACTTAAGGCCCATCTTTCTGCAAGATGTCTCTTTATATTTCTGTTCTTAAATTATATGGAGTTTGGTAGCTTGACCAAAAAAAAAAAAAAAAAAAAAAAAAAAAACCCAACCTTAAGTGTTTTAAAATTAAATATGGAAAGATTTGTCTACAGTTTAACTGGATTATCCTGCTAATGCCCCCCGTGTGTGTATGAGATATGAGATAGAGTATTTAATAATTTAATATGCAGAAAGTACTATGAAAGGGTCAAAGTGTTCTGTAATTGTTGTCTTGCTCAGTCATCAAAAAAAAAATCTAAGAACAAATATGTATCTATTTTTCATATAAAACTGACATACCTTTGAAAACAGTCTTACACTCTAGTGACATTTCAGTGAAGAGATTGTTTTCTGTAGCTGAATTCTGAGGTACATTTGAAAGCTAATGATCAAAAAGATTTATTTATTATTTGTTTAGACAGGGTTTCTCTGTGTAGTCCTAACTGTCCTGGAACTTGCTCTGTAGACCAGGATAGCCTTGAACTCACAGAGGACCTCCTACCTTTGCCTCCTGAGTGCTGGGATTGTAAAAGCATGTGCCATCACCACCTGGCAAAAGGTCTTTCTTTTCTGCAGCATTTTATGTCTTTGTTGTAATGGGAGGTGATTTTATATGAGCATCACTGAGCTAGCTGTTTCTGATTCGTGATGTCTGGGGGAGCAAAATTGAGCTCTGCCCTACAGATTCTGGAGTAATGACTGTTTTGGGTACCTGTGCAATGGGAAGCAAAGGAGAGTGGTTTGCCCACAGCTACACAGTGGGTGGGTAAACGAGGCTGCAACTCCCATTTATTTAACCAGTGGAGGCTGTAGTCCAGTCTCAGGCATGTTGCTCTCTCTGATACTGTGGGTCACGAGTGGCACACTACAGGTGAAGGGCATACTGGTGTGGGAGATGGATGGGAGGTGGGGATGTAGTGAGCACAAGCAAGGGTTAGCTGCACTGTGAAGAGGCTGAAGGAGAGGTGGCTCATGGGTGGGGCTTGTTGGTTAAGTTGTTTAAATGTCATTCAGAAGAGAGACAGTTACAAGATATATTTATAAGCCCTGGTTGTGTGTGAATAGTCAGCATTCAGACCTAGAGATGTTGTTCAGTGCAGTGTTTGTCTAACATGTGAGAAGTCCCAGACACAGCACAAAAACCCTCTTGTTCCTGTTAGGAATAACCTTAAGTGTGAAATTTGAAGTGTTAAAAATATTGCTACTTGCCTAATGTGGCACATGCTGTAATCCCGGCACTCTGGAAGCTGAGGCAGGAATATCATGGGTTGTGAGCCATGTTCTGCTATCTGTTGAGATTCTGTCTCAGAAATGACATGTTTGATTAAGCATTGGGGTATTCACCTGTAATCCCAAAACTCCAAAGCCAGAGCAGGAGGTTGCTGGAGTTTGAGGCCAGCTTGATTTACAGAGTGAGTTGTGGACTAACCAAGGTTCTGTGGCAAAACTTTTATCTCAAAAAATCCAAAAGTAATAGAGTAATTAATTGAAAATGTCCAGTATAA